AGGCGCCCTCATATGATGATGATTATGACCGTATGCAGTTGTGAGCGTCGTAACGCAAAGAAAAAAGTTTGTGGATGGTTGGCGGGTGCTCTGCATGGTGTGCTTTGCTCCTTCTTTCCTATTAAAAATCTGTCATCCTGATCTCCCCCCCCCCCTTCTTTTTTGTGTTTGTTACTCTCTTGTAACACCTCTAATCTTCGGCAGTCTATGTGACCTTATTGAGTTGCAAGTGCCGTAAAACTTTTACTAAAACTAAAAGGAAGAAGGACGGGGAAGATGGGATGATGGTACCCAGGGCCTGTTTTATAATATAAATAATTTTTAAAGTTCACAAGAATCAGCACAGAAACCCCCCCCCCCCCCAACGGGTCTTGACAATTTGCCAGCAACTGTTTTTATGTCCAGGCGAAAGTTGTCTCGCCTAGTAACGTCGTGTGTTTGGCTAACTCAAGGAGGTTATAAGGTCCAAGGTTCTTTGGTTAACTCCTTCTGTGTGAGCGAGCCTGATGTATCTGGGTTAGTGGAGCGCTCTCCTGTCTGTCGTGTTGTTGTCCATGACCTTGACCTTGTGAACTTTCTCCTATGTTGTTATTGATGACCTTGACCTTGTCACCCGTGACCCCTAGTGTTTTCTTTTGACAAGAGAACGATGGGAAGTGACCGAGCAGTGGAGGAATGGAAGGAGCCATTACGGGGCTGAAGATTAGCTGTGCTGGGCGGCTAGGTTCCCGATTATTGAAAGCTAGAAATCGTTAGGAATCGACTCCGAACCAAATTACCTACTTTTTAACCCTATCCGTACTCCCTACGGTCGTTTTGTACCCTAGGAGTTGTATTCTTCACATTAAAAAAACCTTCTAGTACGAAAATCTCTTTGAAACTTTCAGTATTTCTAAAAATAAATCATTTTGACAGATTGCTAAGCAAAGCGTACGGATCGGATAAACGAGTAAATTTCCTCTTTGGAAAGTGGTGGCACAGAGTTCTCCACGTCGTATGGATACGACAGTAAAACACGACGTACGGATAGGGTTAATGATGTGATTTCTTCCGGAGGTTACCTAGTTGGCTCCGAACATCTTCAGGATTTAGAATGACCTTGATTTCGGAACTCTACAAAGCGTCAACTTTTATTTGTCAAAAATGAATCCTTAAAAAAAGATTTTAGTGATTGAAGTAAACCGTTGGTTGGTTTACGTAAAAAGAAGTCGGAACTTTTGTCCGTAAAACTGACCACGGGAATTGGTTCCGGAGTCGATTCTTCGCCCAGTTCTACTGAACATGAGCTGCGATGTGAAGGGTTGCCTTGAAAGGTAGCGGAAAGCAACTATTAGTACATGATATATCGCGTACAGTAAGTTAGTACGGTAGTGGTTGTTGCGTTTGTAGAGGGGGGGGGGGACAAATGGGA